CCTCCAAGAGATCTTCTACCGCAGGTCATCTGCGTCTCGCAGGTCTTTTTGACCGTCATCGCCTATGTCCTTGGTGAGGGCATGGCGTATGCCATCCCTCGTCGCGGTTGGATTGGACGCCTTCTGAACCGGGGCCGTTTAATGCCAAGGAACATGCCGCCATTGCCCTGATGGCCTCCGCGGCATCTCAGTCGGCTTTGGCCACCGAAGCGCTGGCCGTGCAGCAGCTGTACTACGGCGGCTACCCGAGCCATGCAGCCGGTGTGTTCATCACTTTGTCCTCCCAACTCATCGGATATGGCATTGCCGGCTTGCTCCGTGACATCATTGTTCGCCCGACAAAGATGCTCTGGCCGATGACCCTCCCGATCAGTAGCTTGCTCGAATCTCTCCACAAGAACAAGCAGCAATCCAAAGCCCGGTTGAAGGTTTTCTACATTGTATTCTTCATTTTATTCTTCTGGGAAATCGTTCCTGAGGTATGCAGCTCGATGGAATGGTGGTTGCTACTCATGCTGACGTGTGTGCGACTAGTACATTTTCCCCGTGCTGGAGGGTGTGTCCATTTTCTGCCTTGCAAACCAACACAGCCTGGTTTTTACCAACCTATTCGGCGGCGCTTCCGGAAATGAGGGTCTTGGCTTCCGTAAGTAGCGGTTGGAGGATCCCTGCTCGGTGCAAAACTAACAAGCGTGCTTTCAGTGTCCGTGTCGTTCGATTGGAATTACATTGCCTCGCTCGGATCTCCTCTGTGGTACCCGCTGTATGCGTTGACCAATTCGTTCATCGGCTACCTGGGATGCATCATCCTCTTCATGGGAATCTACTACGGGAATGTCTGGAATTCTCAGAATTTCCCCTTCCTCTCCCAGCTGTTGTTCACCAACAACTCGAACTCCACGTACTATGACACCTACAACCAGACGATGATCCTGAGCCCGGATTTTACCGTCGATGAGGAGGCCCTGAAGCAATACGGTGTGCCTTGGCTGACTGGAACGTACCTGGCAAACCTCATCACCACGAACATGGGCATCACCGCGACGCTCACGCACATGTTTCTCTGGAACTTTGATGACATCAATAGACACTCGTAGACCCTTATCTCATGTTTTAAAGTGTTCCGGTTGATGTCGTTAATATATTCCATATTGCTGCGGTCAGGTTCGGGGAGATGTTCAAGAGGATAAACTTTGGCAATTTTGACGACACGGTCCTCATCAATCTTAAGAATTACGCCAGTCAATCCTATGCCAACCACTGGAAGATTATCGTAGGGGTCGCAGGAAAGCTGCTGGCTTTGGTTTATCATTCTGGAGTATTCTGTCTGAGAAGGTTGACCATGTTCTCCTGATGAAACAATTGTCGTAGTGTCCTGGGAAATACTTAGTGAGAAATTGGGAGTAAATTGAGCAATCTTAGTCTTACCTTGTGTGGTGCTATCTCAGCAGTTTCTCCCGCCTCTTCAATATCTAGCGGTCTCCCTTTCACAACTGGGAAAAACAGACTAAAAAATCCATGGAGAGGATGGTAAAAGAAGCGGCATACGGTCGACAATATCGACCAGAAACATGACTGGATGAACGAGGACATGTCCGATGACTTTTAGGGTGATCAAAATGGACTTGGCTTTAAATCTGTCAGGATATGTTGCCTTTTTGAATGGAACAAATGATCAAAGGGCTGAACGTCAAGTTCAGGACGTGACTAAGCAGTTCTATTCACGTGCTTTGGAGACACCCGAGTTGCTATTCTATTCTAGGATCTAGCTCAGGACAAACATGTCGCCGGTTACAACTCCCAGCGCATTCTTTTTTGTTTCTCGTTCTCACCTTCCACGGAACGAGCTTGTTAATAATACACTTACCACTTCATGGTCCTTCTCCTCTATCGCGGACCTACGTTGTCACGGGGATCTCAACAATAATCTCCAGCATTATAGATACTGCCGTTCTCAAAGACGCCCTCATATACGGAACTCATATCATCCACTACGGTTCTAGCATCAAGGTGGCCTCAGAGTCTGAGTCGAGGGCTTGCAGCTGTCCACCGGAATCAGGCTCAAGCTCCTCGTCATCTCCAGTACCGCGTTGGCTTAATCTCTCGCTGCCTGCGCTTCCGAGGCCTTTCTTCCTGCGCTTTGAGCGGGTGACACATCGAAGGCTTCAGGAATCTTGGCCTTAGAGTCGATTCAAATATTTGCTTTTCTAGGAGCGTTTTGGCAACGTAGCATATGCTGTCGATATTATGCTCTCTGCTAATATCTGCCAGCGCTGGCTTGTTAATGTGCCTAGAAGGTGGCAAAACAGCAGACGAAGACATCGGGCTTGGAGAGCTTGTATAACTTGAGCAACTTTTGGAAGGAGAATGAATGGTTGGTCGTATCTGATTAATGCTCCTCGAGATCGTTGGTCTCGACAATGTCGAAGATATCATGGATGACGGTGAAATAGCAGATAAAGGTGCCGTAGCAGAGTTAGGTAGGGCAAATGATATAATCTCAATGTTAATACAGGAGGTGAAAATCTAAAACCGCCCACATGATAACATCCCGTGCGCGCTCACCCGAGACACCTGGCTGCGGATCGTCACACTAACTATGTCTTCTATATTGAACTTTGCTGAACAATTTTTTACTAGGTTTACTTATGTTACTAAGACCATTTTTGATAAGAAGGTCACAGAACATGTTTACTATATAGGTAGTTACAGATAAGGTGTTTCACACTATATTCTAATGACAAAAAGTGGATTAGGAAGACCCTTATTAAGGAGGATATTATTAAGAACAAGAAACGGGCTAAGCATATGTTCACACACTGTGACTTAACTAATATTATTATTTCCATGTAGACCAATGATGACCCAGTCTTTATTCATGAGCAATACAGGGTTCAAATGACCTTTGCTATTTTAATATACTACTACTCCAGAGCAAGAATTGGGGCCTATATTCCTGATATGTTAAAAGCGGATGATCAGGGACTCCAATATAAGGTATTTATTATTATCCTATACTATTTGGCATGTCTCTGAACGACTTTAGGACATCAAATTATACCTCTATTGCAGGCCTGATGGCAAAAAGGAAATTTTTTCTATCTTAGTCAAAAATGGGTCAAAAATAATCATGACCCCATAAATATAATGTAGGACATGCTATTCCTTGCTCCTAAGCAAAAATCCTGACTAGCCTTTCTAGGTTTTATGTAGCAATAAGAGAACATGGGAAGCTTTGCTTCAATCTGGTCCCCTATCTACTAATGCTTGCATTTGCAGATAACACACTTTTTAGCTTAGATAACATTGAGGTGCTGGACAACATGGAACCTGATGGAAATGAGCCCATTCGGCTGCTGTGGAAGCCATGCATTTGAGGTGAACCAGTTCTTTAGGTGGTCACTCAAGCCGGTAGTATTTCAAGACATGCTTTAACTTATTATTCTTCCATTTTAGAGACCGTTTTTCAGTCAAAGACTATGCACGGTCTGCCTATTACCTAAGCAATAGGACTTAGTTAGGGAAAAGTAGGAAATAAAAGATAGGTAAGCAGGTGGTAGGAAAACAAATAAATCACAAGTCAATGAATGGTAGTCTG